ATTATATCTGCTTTTTGCTTAATTAACTTTGTGAATATCTGTCTTCTTTTTGCTGTTGCATTTAATCCATTTACGTTTATTGATATGAGCTTCCAGTCTTCCATTCTTTAATCTATCTACCTAGTGTTAGTATCTATTTGCCCTTGTAACCTTTTGAGTTCTTGTTTTACTACCTTTTATTTCTTAATTTTCTTTTTCTTCCTTGTTATTCTTTTCCAGGGCTCCTTCTTTAGCTTCTCGTTGGTGTGAAGCTCCTTCTTCTTCCTGGCTTATGGTCTCCACTTCCTCTTTGCTCCTCTGCTCCTCTTCATTTCCCGTCAGTTGATCCAGAAAATCTTGTGCCACCACTAAACTGTCTATTTTTATCTTCTTGCCTTGCCATGTGACAAGCATCCCTTCCAGAAGTATCCATCTAAACATAATGTTTCATTTATTCAGGTGTATAGCCAGGAAGCGATAATCTTTACTCTGCTCTCAAACTCTTCTAGGAACTTGTTTCAAGGTAATGATTTCCTTTCCCCTATATATCGCTTCTTCTTGGGTTATATTATATACTATGTCATGGACCCTCTTTCTAACAAATCTGATATGGACCTCTCTGGGCAGATGATGATGATGATGATGATGATGATGATGATGATGATGATGATGATGATTCATCCCAGTCTCCGAAGACTCTGGGCAGCTTACACCAAAGACAGTATACTAAATAGCATATTGCCCCCAACAATCTGGGTCCTCATTTTATCCACCTCGGAAGGATGGAAGGCTGAATCAACCTTGAGCCAGTGAGATTTGATCCGCTGATCTGCTGAACTAGCAGTCAGCTGAAGTAGCTGCAGTATTGCACTCTAACCACTGCGCCATCTCGGCTCACATTTATGGCATCTGGCGTAATTTGTTTGAATTCGATATACCTCATCTAATTCTGTCACGATTTCTTGTTTATCCCTCTGTAAGGATTCTGCTATAATCTCTGCCATTATCTGTCCAAGATCTTCATCTTTTGCCTCAATCACGTTTTGGAACCTCAAATAAAATGATGCCCTATTCATTTCCAGCTGGATCACCGAGTCTTCGAGGTTTTTATTTAGAGCCATCATCTTCTGATCTACCTGATCCAATTTTTTTTCAGTTTGCTCAGCTATAGCCTCTACAATTTTTATTTTTTGTTCATTCTTCTAAATTGCTTCCTGGATTGAGTTCATTTTACTATTTAATTTTTGAATATCAACTTTCATTTCGCCATGGTTGCTAAACATTGTTTCTTGCATCTTTACCATAGTCTCTTGAATCAACGTCAGGGTAGCTTGCATTGTTTACATATTTGGAGCTGTGGTAGATTTTTCCACCTTTAAAGGCCCCTCGGTCAATCATTGGTTTGAAGGAGATGCCATTGTTATCATTGGGTTCGATGTCATTTTTTCCCCTGACTTTAAGGTTGTAGTTGTAAGACTGGTCATTTCTTTCAATACTCTACTTCGCTCTCCCAAGATCTTATAAATATTTTTCCACACTATCATCAACCAAAGACTATTTATTGTTATTATTGTTATTATTATTTCTCGTTATTATTATTAGTATAGCTGTAAATATACCAAAATGTAGGTAAGATAAATAACAAATATCAATATTCTATACATTCTATATTAATTAATCAAACTATCTTAAGTCACTAAACAAGTCTATTCGTATATCAGTTTTAAAATCAAAACTAACAATTAAGATTAGGGTATCTATTAACCATCAAGCAGATATATTTCTCAAATTAATTCAAAAATATAAGTCTCAATTTATACTATGATAAACAAATTAATTATCAATTATCAATATTTCATATATTCACAAAATCTATATTGTCTATATCTAATATCTAATGTCTATAAACTATTTTCACTCTTTATAAAGTATAAGTTTTATCAATATTGCTATTATCTAATATTTGTAAATATAATTATTAATACCAGATATAATAATAATTAAATCTTCTTGATTACTTCACAATTATTCACTTAATCACTGAGAAATTATAAAATACATTAAGTATACATAAAGATTCAGACAACCAGTTTCTTAGAGGTATAAATCTTGTGTCTTCTCTGGTGCCTTCTTTCAAATACAACACTTAACTCCTCCCAAGTGTCTTATGCCCCGGCAGTGTGGACAGTGTATAATATTATAAGAATATATAGTTCCTTAGTTCAATATTCTCCTCCCTTACACTTTAATTTCACCTCAATGTTCTTTAAATCCTCTATTCAGAAGTTCGATTAGGACAAAAAGAAGCTCTTTCCTTTCTTCAATGATTCAAGCACTCCTCCGATCAGCTCCTATCACTGTTGAGTCATGGCAATGTCAGTCCTCACTTCTTCTTCTCCTTTTGATCCCATTCCTGTCCCTTTCTATTGCTCTACTGTGCCAGCTTGCTTGCCTTCTTCGTCTTCTATTTCCTTTTAATTCTCAGTTCTCACCAGCTATTTACAGTCATGCCACAACTTCACGATTCCACACTTTCTCCTCATTGCCATCTTAATATTTAGATGTGTTGTGCTGACTCACCCTCCTTCCACTAAATCGCCGCTCGGTCTCTCGCTGGAAAACTTTAAACCAAATAAGACCGGACTTAATTCTTCGAAACGATCTTTAATCTTGTGGTATTCCAAATAGTCACTTAAAATGATGCCGTCTGCTATGAAAATCTTCTCTTCCCTGTACTCACCAGCTCATCACAGGTCTGCCATTACAAGCTGTCAGACACATTCACGCTGGATCGACAGAGGTGTCCATTCGAGCAACGTGTGATCGCCCTTCACATCGCCACGCTCTGGATTCCCCCTTTAGTCCGCAATGCCCTCCAGGCTTTTTGCACCCCGAAGGGTCCCCAAAACGTGAAAAATTCGGAGTTAGAAAACAGAGACCGTTCTCCTTCCACTGCCCCGCTGCGAATCACCAACCAGAAATCCCTTGAAAATGTTTTGCTTCTCATCTAAGAAGCATCTTCATTTCTCAGTTTCAGTTCTTCCGAACTGAAGAAGCTTCTAGTTAGCCATTGATAAAACAAATCCCATGTTAAAAAGCAGAAACAGAAGTTAGAAATGCGGAAGCCTAAGAGAACGATTAATTACATAAGGAAGATCCACTGAAATGGATAAGCAGACACTGCTATTATTATGCAACCAATATTAATGCTATGAATATTATTGTTTTTATTATGATTACTATTTCTCAAAAGTAACTGTACTCAGACAACACACCATTTATGTAGATATTGAATTTTTTTATATTTAATAAAAACTTTTTAAAACTTGAAAAAAAAAGAACTGAAGAAGTTTCTTGGATGAGAAGCAAAACATTTTCAAGGGAAAAAAAAAAAAAAAAGAAAGTCCAGCTGCCTTTTGAAAAGCCAGGGGTGAAATGCTCCCGGTTCAGGCCGGATCGCCCGATCCGGTAGTGATGGCAGCGGGTGGTTTGGAGAACCGGTAGCAAAAATCCCTGCCCCCCCCCATGCCCAGCTGAGCTGCACGATCATCAAAGGCTTTTTTTTTTACTTTTAAAAGCATTTTTTTTACAACCTCTTCAGCCAAAAAAATGCTTTTAAAAGTAAAAAAAAAAGCCTCTGATGATTGCGCGGCTCAGCTGGGATCATCAGAGGCTTTTAAAAGCATTTTTTTCTGCAACCTCTTCGGCCAAAGAGGTTGTAAAAAAAAATGTCTTTAAAAGCCTCTGACAGTCCCAGCTGAGTTGCCTGATCATCAGAGGCTTTTAAAAGCATTTTTTTCTGCAACCTCTTAAGGTTGCAGAAAAAAATGCTTTTAAAAGTAAAAAAAAAAAGTTGGCCACACCCACCCAGTCACATTACACCCCTCCCCCCAAACAAGCCATGCCCACAGAACTGGTAGTAACAAATTTTACATTTCACCACTGTGAAAAGCCCCTTCGGAACAACCATGACCTGGATGACTGAGAATCTCCATAGACACTCAACTGCCATGTAAGCAAGGGAAGAAAAAGCAGGCAGGGAGGCAGAAGGGGGAATGGGCAGATAAAATATTTTTTTAAAAAAATCAAGAAACGTCAAGGAAAGGCCATCCCTACAGTCTTTTATCTTTTCCTTTGTTGACTTCTAGACAGTTATCTGCCTTTTTCTTGGCAAGATTTCAGGAGTGCTTTACTCTTGCATGCTTCCAGTGGTGGGTTTCTACTGGTTCGCCCTGGTTCAGCTTTGCTGGCGGGGGAATTCTGGGAGATGAAGTCTGCCAGGCTTAAAGTTGCCAAGGTTGGAGACCTCTGAGCTAGATGACATTGTGCCTAAAGGTGGGACGAGAATTGAGCTCTCCTGGCTTATAGACGAATGCCTTAACCACTACATCACGCTGACATAAATCCTCAGCAGTCCTGAATGAATAGCGATAGGGAGAAGTTCAATGACTTTCACAGTACAGACAGTTCTCAGACCAAGATTGCAAGAAACACACAAACACAGCATTTGTTTAGGCACCAGGCTAAAAGTCAGGGAACTGTGAATTCTAGCCCTACATTTGGACCAAAAAAAAAAAGCAAGAGCAAACCACTTCCAAATATGTCGCCAGAAAAACTGCACAATCCAGGCAGGCACCAGGTGTCAAAATCCAGACTAGAAGGTCTAATTTTTCTTTCTTTTATAGAGAGAGAAATACACGCACACACACACAAATGCAAAAACACTAAAGAAAGTAAACAACAGAGATTAACACCCTAGCAGGCATTTTTATATATATATAGTTGTAGAATTGCTGGTTGACTTAACTCAGGAGTGGCAGCTTAACTAAACAATATCATATCTGATCTCTTTGTTCACTCACAGCAATGGCCGTTGGCAAATAGCAATAGCACTTAGCAATAACACTTAGCAATAACACTTACATACCGCTTCACAGTGCTTTCCAGCCCTCTCTACGCAGTTTACAGAGTCAGCCTATTTGCCCCCAACAATCTGGGTCCTCATTTTACCGACCTCGGAAGGATGGAAGGCTGAGTCAACCTTGAGCCGGTGAGATTTGAACTGCCAAATTGCAGGCAGACGGCAATCAGCAGAAGTAGCCTGCATTCTAACTCTTGCGCCATCACCTCATACATTAAAGAGAAGAACATAAGGAGCATTGTCAACGTCCTTATCTCACCCATCTTGCCAGCCATGACTCCCAGGAATGTGAACTTGAAAGAAAATATGCCCGATAAGATCTGCTGAATGAAAGGAGGAAAAAGGTATGCAGATTCATGTAAATTTCTGTGTATAAAGGGGGAGGAGAAAGAACTTCACTATATATATATATACATACACACACACCATATTTTTCGGAATACAAGACGCACCTTTTTCCCCCCCTAAAAGAGGCTGAAAATTTGGGTGCGTCTTATACTCCGAATGTAGCTTTTTCAAAGCTTTTTTTCAGCCCTAACGAAGTGTTAATGAGGCACTAGCGATCTTCCCAGTTTTGCCTTCTCCCTCGACTCTCCGCTGTGCTTTAACGAGGCGCTAGCCAGTGAAGTGATCGCCATGCTTTGCTCCGACTCTCAGCTGTTCTTTAGAAGCTTTTTTCAGCCCTAACTAGGCGCTAGTTGAGTGAAGCAATCTCCCACCGTGCTTTGCCTGCTTTTCTCATTGCTGCTTCCTCTCAGCTGTGCCTTAGAAGCCATTTTTTATCCCCAAGCAGGGGATAAAAAACCAGCAAACTAATGTTCTGAAGCTGACCAAACTAAGGATGCTAGCCAGATGAATACCTGGTAGGCAGATTTTTTTTTCCTATTTTCCTCCCCAAAAACTAAGCTGCGTCTTATACTCCAAAAAATACGGTATATATGTACTTGATGGTAAAATTAGCAAGAAATCCATTCATACTTCAGTGATTGCTTTTTCATTAAGAGATATGTGATGAATAGTGAGTTCCCATCAACCTTTCTCTCTCTACCGAAAGTGTGGTCTAGAATACTTGGTATCCTGTTGCTCCTTCACCTCAATTTTAAACAAATTTCCCACCAGCAATCTGAACAGGTAGACATTGAAATCTACCACTGCAGGTAAAGTATGTCCTTCCTTTTCTTTAGAGGATGTGGCATGAACTATGTTATATGCTGTTCTCTTCCACAGAGACACCAAAGTTTTGCCACTAACAGTGTTTCTGCTTAAGTGAACAGGTAGACTTTGAGTTCTACCACAGCTGGAAGTAGGAATTAAACTGCTTGATCCAGGTAAAAACTATTATCTTCTCCTCCTTCTCCTCCTCCTCCTTTTTCTCATTCTCCTTTTCTTTTTCTTTCTCCTTTCTCCTTCTCCTCCTTTGCCAACTCTAACCATCCTCCTCCTCTTCCTCTTCCTCTTCCTCTTCTTCTTCATCATCTTTTTTCTCCTCCTCCTCCTCCTCCTCTTCCTCCTCCTCCTTTTCTTTCTCCTTCTTCTCTGTCAACTCTAACCATCCTCCTAACCCTTGGAATTCATAAACAAATGAAGATAATATGTATACAGGATTTTTGTTGAAACAATTTTATTTATTGGTTTGTTTATTTAATTTCTGTTCTTCTGGGAAAGAATTGGCTGTTTCCCAGTTGGCCAATTGTAAAGAATTGGCTGTAAACCTATCCCTATAGTATATATTTAATTTGCCTGCAGATAAAGGAGACATGAAGTAAATGACAGGTTGGCCTTCCAGCATGTATATAGAAAGATATAAATATTTGAGCAGCCTTAAGAAAATTGCAAGATAAATATTGATCCCTACACCTCACTTTCTAGAAGTTTCAGCAGCTGAAAATTTTTCTTGTTTTATATTCTTTTTTTTTTTTATTGCAAAAGTTTTACAATTCATTTTCACCCCTTTTTTTTCACCCCCCCACCTCCCTCCCCAAACTTCCCATCCTCCCTAACCCTCCCTAACCCTCCCCCCCCCAGACTTCCCTATTATGTACTCATAACTAATAACACTGATATATATACCTGAACCCATCCCTCCCCCTATATAATTTTCCCTCTTTGTCTCTTTATATTAAAATATTTCTAATACATTGTTTTCAAATAAAAGCTATTTGATACTTTCTAATTCAGTATTTGTTCTGAACATATTCTATCCACCTTTTCCATTCCCATTCATAAGTCTCTTGTGAACAATCTTTTAAATATGCTGAAATCTTCGCCATCTCTGCAAAACTGGCCATCTTCGAAGTCCATTCCTCGATAGTAGGCAAAGCTTCATTCTTCCAATATTTACCTATCAAGAATCTTGCTGCTGTTAACATATACAATATTAATTTTGTTTCATCCCGTGTAAAACCCTTAACTATGCCCAATAAAAACAATTGTGGAGAAAATTGAATTTTTTTCTTCAAAACATTCTGCATGACCCACCATATTTTTATCCAAAAAGCCTTAACTTTCCTACAGGTCCACCAAACATGATAATACGTAGCATCCAAACATTCACATCTCCAACATTTTGGCTGAACATTAGGGTACATACAAGACAACTTTTTAGGATCTAAATGCCATCTATAAAACATTTTATAAAAATTTTCCCTCAGATTCTGCGACTGTGTAAATTTAACATTCTGAACCCAAATTTTTTCCCATGTTTCCAACATCACTGGTTCTTCAAAATTTTGTGCCCACTTAATCATGCAATCTTTAACTAATTCCGTTTCTGAATCCCTTTCTAGCAAAACATTATAAAGCCTTTTAATATGCATTGGACCTTTCTCTCTTATATGTCTAACCAATTCTTCCTCATGCAACATAATACCAGTTTTTTGGTCCTCTTTCCATCTCAATTGTAATTGATTATATTGTAACCAGGTTAAATTAATCCCTTCATCCAACAGTGTCTGCAATGTCTTCAGCTGCCATCTGCCCGCATCTGTAAAAGAACCTCTTTGTATAAAAACCCCCGAGTGACATTATATTTGTATTCCACAAGGTATGACCAAGATCCAGCCATAGCGGTATTTTATAATCCCATTTGAGTCGGTGCTTCTTCCAAACTCTCATCAAAGAGTCTCTAAGTATATGACTTTTAAATACTTTATCAACTTTGTCATCAAAAATAGGTAAGCATGCCATCCAAATTCAAGATCAAAACTTTCTGCATTCAATATTCCAGCCTTTTTACCCCCAAACCAATCACTTGTTAAAGTTAAAGCTGCTGCATCATAATATAACTGTAGGTTTGGAAGTTTAAGGCCTCCTCTTTCTGGAACATCTTGCATAATTTTCAATTTCACTCTCGGCTTTTTCTCGTTCCAGACGAACTTATTAAGTCCAGTTTGCCAAACTTTCAGTTGTTTATCACTTTTAAGCACCGGAATCATTTGAAACAAAAACAGAAATCTTGGCAACATGTTCATCTTAACTGCTGCTATTCTTCCAAGTAAAGACAGTTGCAGCTTTTTCCAAGTCTCCATATCTTTCTGAACCTCTCGCCACAACACCTCATAGTTATTTTGAAACAATTTCATATTTGATTCTGCAACCTGAACTCCAAGATATTTTACCTTAGGTACAATTTCAAAACCTGCCCTCCTTTCAAGCTCATGTTTACGATCTTGTGTCATATTTTTGACTATCATTTTAGTCTTTTTTGAATTCAGTCTAAAACCTGAAACTCTACCATAATCTTGTATAATGTCATTCATCAGGATTGTTGATTCCATTGGTTGTGATAGGGTAACCACCAGATCATCTGCAAATGCCTTTATTCTATAATCCTCTTGCCTTATCATTATACCTTTCAAAATTTTTGAGTCCCGTATTGTATTTAGCAAGACTTCCAATGTTAAGATAAATAAAAGTGGGGACAACGGACATCCCTGTCTTGTTCCTTTTTCAATTTTAAACTCTGTCGTCAAACTTCCATTAATAATAATCTGTGCTTTTTGCTCTTGATAAATTGCTGAGATCGCCTGTGTAAATTGGTCCCCAAAGCCCATCTTTTTTAAAGTCTTTAGTAGAAAATTCCAATCCACTCTATCAAAGGCCTTCTCCGCATCCAAAAAGACCAGCACTGCAGAAATCTGTTTATTCTTATCAAGATATTCCAATAAGTCTATTACTTGCCTTACATTGTCCTTCATGTATCTGCCCTCAATAAATCCCGCTTGGTCCTCATGAATCACCTTTTGAATTACTGGCATCAACCTGTTGGCTAATACCTTCGCATAAATTTTATAGTCTGTGTTCAAAAGAGATATTGGTCTGTAGTTCTCTGGTTTTTTAGGACCAACTTGTTCCTTTGGTATCAAAGATATATAAGCAGTTGTCCAGGATGGGGGTATTTTACCCCCTTGTTGAATATTGCAAAATAAATCTCTAAGTTGTCCCACCATTTCAGCTTGTAAAGTTTTGTAATACACTGCAGTCAAACCATCCGTGCCAGGAGCTTTAGCTGTTTTTAGCTGTTTAATTGCTACTATTATCTCCTCCTCTGTTATAAGATAATTCATTCTTTCCTTTTGTTGATCAGTAATTTTTGTAACTCTCTTATCCTTTAAATATTTTTCTATAAGTCCATTCTGCACCTCTTCTTTAGCATATAGTTTAGTATAATAATCCACAAAAGCTTCTTTAATTAATTTTTGTTGAAAAATTTCTTTCCCTCCAATATCGATACTGTCAATAGTCCGCATACTTTGTTTTTTCCTCAATGTGTAGGCCAACCATCTGCCCGGTTTATTAGCATTGCAAAATGTATTATGCTTCGCGTATTGTAAGCTTGTTGCAACTTGTTCCGCCATAAGCATTTGGAATTGGTCTTTCAAAAGTTTTATAGCACTTCGTATTCTTTCATCTGTTGGGTTTTTAATAAGTAACTGTTCTTTATTCTTTATTTCCATTTCCAACTCAGATCTTTTCTTTTGTCGGAACAGTCTATGTTTAGAATTCATGTAGATAAGTACCCCCTCTCATATAAGCTTTACTTGCATCCCAAACAATTTCAACTGGGGTACCTTTATTCAAATTTATTTCAAAAAATTCTTTCAAATGCTTTTTAAGTTCTATTATATTTTTTTCATATCTAAACAAGTTCTCATTTAATCTCCAAGAACGTCTCTCAACCTTATCCATCTCGATTTCTATCCATACAGGACTATGATCAGTCAAAGTTCTTGGAAAAATCTTTGTTCTTTTTGTCTTAACAAGTAGATCATTTGACAACAAGATAAAATCAATCCTAGAAAAGGATCTATGTCTATCAGAAAAAAAAGTGTAATCCAATTCATTT